AATCATTGCGAAACGCTGTGGAAGACCAACTGTGCTTGTAACGAGACAATAATCTCGGTATATTTTAATTCTCTGCGTAAACACATATTATAGATATTACAAGCAGTTCTTAATATAAAGAAAAGAAATATCGTTTAAAAAAAAACGAGGGGAAAGATCCGACGTGTGTTTCTTACGTGCTGTAACTATGTGGCTGTGTGTTCTGTGCGCGCAACGACCGTGAGTTTTGCGCCCGCGCTCATCTTCTGCGATATACAGCAGAGAACGCGCGTGGGCGTCTTCTCTGTGTTCTTCTATACTTGCTTTATCTTTTTTAATTCTCCTCGGGGGCAAAACAGGTTTCTCTCTGCGAGAGAGAGAGAGAGACTCGAAGCTCTCAGCACATTTATGTACGCACGCGAGCAACATGAAAGATAGATAGAGGTGCGAACGCTTCTCTGACTAGGCAGCGGCAGCGACGCATTTTTCATTAAACGTTTATCGTGACAGAAACGAGAAAAAATAAAATTCAGCAACCGAGGACGGAATATTGGATAATTGGATGTTTGAGTAGATATTATTGATATTGATACGTTTGGGCGAAACTGACGCAAATTTCCGGAATCATCGAAAATTATTAAAAAATTATTTACACCGACAGAAGACGATAATGCTAATATCGATCGTATACGGTAGTGCATCACTGCCTACATATAACTGGATATTGCTGCATTAATGGCACACAAAGCTCAATCTTATCGATGCCGTTGCTTTTAATCGTTGTGCGGCTACTGTTGGGCTCGGGCACACTCGTTTTCCTGCCTCGTGATAACGTTATTCGCTCGATGCTCGAATATACGTATGAAAATATATACGACCCAGCGCATATGCCTGCGACTTCCACCGCGAGATATTTTATCGCGCTTGATATATAAAGCAGAAATTGTAAAGGATGAGGAGTTTAGTCCATTAAATGCAACCAGCAGACTCGAAGCCGGCTTAAATATTTTCTCGGGGATTTTCAGTTCGATCAGGTATAATAATTGCGGCACTCGGCGGGCGTCAAAAAGAACGTGTCCCAGCAGAGATGCCCTTTCATTTCGTACGAAAGAAGTTTGTTCATTAAATGTCAACTTTAACTTTTCTAGACGGCACAGAGACGCCGTGAGTTCAATTAGTTTTGGATTCTCATCTTCTGCACGGCTCATATTGCTTTGCTGCTATGGCGAGCACGATCTACGAATTTGTACCCAATGTGCTCCGCTCGAGCGCGACGAACGCAAACGACTCTCACGTACCAAATGCAATGAAAAAGATAAAGGATAAAACGGGGAATCAATCGATTGCGAGCTTGGCCATTTTCTCGTTTTTCACGTCCTCTCATTGTCTCGGCGTTTTTTCTGTTTTTTTCTTTATCTACAGAACAACGCCGTTCCGTGCGGTGGTAGTTTAAGTAGCTGTATATATACGAAAAAGACTGAGAGAGAAGGAGAGAGAAAACTACTTCGAGTCGATTGTCTCGCAGTAGCTCTCGGTCGATTGCGAAACGGGCGAGGAGAAAAAAGGAAGAGAGAAGAGAAAAAGTTTGGCGCAAACGTTATTGAACTTGTCCTGTACCTCTTTCTTTCGTTCTTTCTTTTTGTTTCTTGTTTCGCTCTTATATACAGTCTAGCTTTGTCCATGAAATATAAGTTGGAAAAGTTGAGAGAGATAAGGGCGCGAAACTGCAGAGAGACAGTTAGACAGACAGGCTAGGAAGAATATTAAATGGGAAGAAATCCAGCGCTCGGAGGAAGTCGAAAATTGACGGGCATTTCATTGCGATCGCGAAAGATGCATTTGACAAGCTTTGTTTTTTATTTAGCGATCAACTGCATTTTCTATATTTTGACGTGAAAATTTTTCTCGCTATTAATAATAGGAGAATGCGGGATTTGAGAAGGAAAGACGCGTGAAAAACGAGTCGGATAATTCAATCCTCGAATTCCGGTTTGGAAATAAGCGGCTGGACTGAGACTATATTACCCGAGCCCTGACTGCGCAACACCGCGCGAGGTAGAGATCCTTTGTCCGCCGCGATGCATTGCAGTATACATATACAGCTCTCTCTGTCTCGCAATTTACCTTAGCTCGAGCTAGCTTTATTGCACTCGAGGAGCTGAAAGAGAGGCGCATGGCCAGCTCGATCGCTCGGACGCTGCTGCTCTCTCTCTCTCTCTCTCTCTCTCTCTCTCTCTCTCTCTCTCTCATGGGGAATGCAAAAAGGAAAGAGAGTCCTAGATCGCGTGCACGGGGCTTCGACTCGTCGGGGTCTCTCGCGGCTGCTTCGGAGAGTATATAGTATACACCTACGACTATGCGCTGAAGTGCCAGTATATATCGCGAGGAGGCTATATAAGCAATCGGTGAGAGAGAGAGAGAACGAGTAAACACAAAAGGACGAAGACGACGAGAACGACGAGCGAGAGAGAGAGAAGTGCATGCTCGAGTGCAAAGAGGCGAGCCGAGAAACACAGTATATACAAGGCACGAGAGAAGAACAGGAAGAAAGAGAGAGAGAGAGAGAGAGAAAGAGATGCTGCACGCGCGGGCGCTCGGCAAAGTCCATGGGAACGCTCGGGGTCGATTCGCGAGCGCGCGCGCGCTCCAGTCGTGCTTGAGATTTTCGATAAGCTGTGCACAAGCACAAGCACAAGCGCACTGTTCCTTCCTTCCTTCGTATATCTCCTTCGCCTTTATAATGATACGTCATTTCTAGCCGAGTAGTAGTGGCAGTAGTGCTGCATTCGGCCTCTGCGAGAGAATTATTAAAGTGATTGCCAAGAATTCGCCCGAGCGCGAGATATTTCTCGTGTATACACGATAGCATCGATATTAGAGGGTCGCGAGGTTCTCCTGCATGCACCGCAGTGCAGCAATTGCACCGATGCTGCAACCGGTTGAACTTGCAGCCACCTAATCGACGTACGACGCCACGACTTATGCCAAGAACAATTGCCCCGGCATCGAGGATTAATCGAAGATTTTTGAAATCCAAGCCACGAGTCGTAGCTTGACTTTTTCGATGGCCTCCGTGTCGAAGTATCGTAAAAAATAAATAAAAAAAAGGCATTAGAATCGCGGGGAGGTATACAGGATCGATCGTATCGCATGCGTATAAATTTATTCGCTCGATTAATGCGGCGTGTGTGCGAGGGAGCACGATCGATCGGGAGTACATTTTCTGCGAAACTCGCGCGCGACGTTCCCCCGAGACGACGAAGAGGGAACGCGAGTCCTATACACATAGAAAGAAATACAAGAGATGAGGGCGATATTATATTCACCCAGCTCGTGCCAGCTGACGCGTCGGACCTACCGCGCGATGAGGCTTCGCTATGCTACTTCTACCATGTACTGCAAACACACGCACATGTACACATTCTTGGCGCGAAACTTATATCGTGCACGCCTGCACATGGTCCCTTGTGTGTTCAATGAAAGAGCGCCCGCGTGCGTGTGACAAAAAGAAAAGGAGCTGTGCTGCGCATCTCTTTAGCGAAACGTATGTGCTTCCAACGAATTAACGCGCGCGTAATTCTCGCGGAATATAATATACCGACGACGCGCGAGCGCGCCGTTTTGCCGCGGATGATTAACGCACGCGTACTTAGTACATACGTGCAGGCTTATGTACGCGGCATTAGTCACGAGCTCTTGAGAATTACCAATATTGCAACCTCTCTTCCTACCTACCTACCTACCTACCTACTTATATATCTGTTCGTCGCGCGCGCGCGTGTGTGTAACTTCTACCCGAGTATACATACTCAATTATGCCGCACACTCAGCTAGAGTAGAGTAGAGTAGTAAGTGCGTAAAGTAAAGCAAACGATCGCGTATATAGAAATTGAGCGCGTTTTGCTATGTGCATACGTACGTACATATAGGTGCGCTGCTGCAATGACCATCGCATGTGCGCGCGAGGAAAAGATGCGCGCCACGGCTGCATACACATCTACATATATATATGCAAGCCGGTCGCGTTCGCACACTTCCGCGCGCGCGCGCGTTTGTGCACACACATGCTATGCGTTGTGCACTGCAGTGCCACAGCTCGAGAAAGAGAAAGAGCGAGGTGCATCCGATATAGGCACGATGAGAGTATATGTATATATGTAAGAGTGCAGACGGCGCAGCACCGGCTATATATATATGATGGCAGAAACGTTTTGTTCTGTCGAGCAAACATCCGCTCTCGTCGCTCGCTCGCGCGCGCGTATTATGTCCATCCTTTCGCGCCGCCGCCGTTGCTGCTGGCTCTTCTCTCTCTCTCTCTCTCTCTCTCTCTCTCTGACTCGTTTTACCCTTCTTCCTACGTATATATATAAAAGCACAAGCTCATTTTTTTCTGCATACGTGTGTGGATATATACACATACCGAATGCGCATCGAAACCACGAGTGTGCAATCAAGACCCACATATTCTCTCTTTCTCACTGCTGCAGTCTCTGTGTGTGCTTTTCTCATTCTTTTTCCGCGTGCATGCGCCACAACCTTATAGCGCATCCGCGCCCGCGTGCCCGCTTCGATCAAAACTCTTTTTTTTTTCATATCGTCTCGCTCGTCTTTGGAATTTTTTAAGCGCGCGTTACGCTCTCTTCGAGACTGAAATTCGCTACCTCGCGTATAGTTTTTTTCGTGGTATTTCGCACACTTGTTGAATGATTTCATTACTCACTAATCGTTCACCGAGTTTCGATTATATTCAAATTACGCTTCGTAAAATGTCAATTTTTTAGCGCCTGTCGAAAACTTGTTACTGCAGATACAAACGATGCGAGACTCGAATACGCACGAACAGATTTCCCAACACGCATCGATTGTCATGCGTTACACAAGCTCATATATTTTTAAAATTATGACGAAAATGACAAACTTCGCCTTATGGGCTTCTCGATGTTATGACAGATGTATACGCGCGGTGAAAATGTCAATAGTCGCGCGAGGAACAAAAAAGTAAAATACCAACGAGAACTCACCTTAAAATCCCGTCTTTCGTTCGCGGCGTGATGTCTGCCCGGTGAAACGAACTCCGTGGTTATTGAATAAAGTGACGTCGTCGTGAAGAGAATATAAGAGGCGGAGAGAGGCCGCACGCGCAAGATCCCGGTGCCTTTGACAGCGAGAGATGCAATTTTCAGTTTCAGGCGAGCTCCTCTCTTGTTGCTGCTGTTGCTGTCGACTGTCTCTCTCTGTTATGCGTCGCCGTTGCTGTTGCTTCCTCCGTTACGTTTGCACAGCCGAGTAGGAATCCACCTGCACACGTGCAACAGATGCCCGAGAGAACGGAGCACGTTAGAAACTCGATCAAACACGCTATATGTACGTTATTTGATGTATATTATATACAAGTGTCGAAAGAGAGAAAGAGAGAGAGAGAGAGAGAGAGAGACAAGGAGGGAAAAAGAGACAAGAGGATGACGGCAGGAGAAACTAGCAAACAGAGACACACATATGTTAATGTAACATGTATATTCCGCGGCTGTATACGAATATTACCAGCGGCGAGCAAACAAACGTTTGTTTTCTTTTCGCTGACTAGTGTAGTCTCCGCGGACAGCACGTGATCAATATTGATTATGTACCTTTAAATATATTCCACGATCGATATTCGACTGAAAATTCGAGTGACAAGTAAACAGTGGATGTACTACTACTCTTGCTCTCGATTCCTTTCCAAATTTTACATGTATTTTGACGCGTAAATGCATATTCATACCGGTATCCCCTGCACTCGTAATAATCGTTGAACGCAGATCGCAAAAGCAGCTCACTCGTATTATGCGGTATTTTCTGTCAAGAGGTTACAATGAGTGCGAGTCTGCTCCTATAACCTTATCGTTTATACGCAATCGTTGATCTGTCGATGTCGGCTACCTTCACTCCTTCGACAGTTCTCATTTCGTTTGAAATGTCGCAAATTTTCACGGACTGTAATATATATAATAAAATTACATACGCTCGAGCGTCGAAGGTGCGCAAGAAATAATGTAATACCATTGAAAAGACCGGTTGATATTTCCTGATTTTATCGCGTATTCATACTGCACAGCTCGTGCTACGCTCACACACACGTGCGAATGTGTGATATTGAAAGGGAGCTTGCGCGTATGGGAAAACACAAGAGATGCGGCGCGTAAGATAAATCAATGAGCAAAGCTCATTACCGGTATGTATGGCGCTACAGCTGCATTATATCGATACGTATACCTATAGCTTCGACGTAAATGTAGCGCGCGGACTCGCGTAGAGTACACAAAGCTCTCGTATCGTGCAGCAGCGTCAGAGAAATGTCGCGCAATATGTACATGGGTAGGTAGGTAGGTAGGTAGAGCCTCGGACGCGCCTAAATTGATGGGAAACTCGATTTCGATGCTCTCGATATTACGCGACGATAACGATACAATATAATAATATGCGCGCAGCACATATTATGCACAGGGAGAGACTCCGATAGCGCTGCTCTCGGTTGCCGCTGTCCGCTTCGCTTCGTCAAAGAGTTGATGCGCGCGCCAAATGGCCTGCCGCCGACCAATAACGCCAATATTGACAATATCTCGTGGCAGCGGCTTCGCTCTCTAGACTTTTACATCTTTTTCTCTCTCAAACGTATATTATATACACGATTTTCAGGTGTTCTCCGAAGAAGCTCTCCGGACTTTCTTCTATCCGCTGCGCGACTATCGATGACGATGACGACGCAACGATGCCGCACCGCGGCACCAGCACAGTGTTTCGAAGAAGGGGCGTTAATAGTTGTAAAAATGTTTCTTCTTCTGTAAAAAAAAAAAAAAACTTAATAGACGCGCTAAACCAAAGTATCCAAGTTGCCGCTTCCCCTCCCGACTACGACGACGACATAGAAACGAGCAGTAGTACTCCTATATATCGCGTCGATGTTCGCTCGCTCGCGTTGCGCGCGCTCTGTGGGCTTCAATGAATTCTCAGCCGTATAGTCGCTTCCGCTCGTAAATCAGCTGTTGCAGCCCGAAGTCACGCAGCACCACTACAGCACTACCACTACAACTACTACTATTACACTACTATACAGGCTGTACGTGTGCTCTTTCCCCAACGCGCGCCGGGCTTTTCACGTCTCTTTTATTTTATATCTTTTTTCACTTATAGCCACGTTCGCGCGCACCGCGGGGGGATGATTTTTCGAGAAATTAGGTTTTTTTTCGAATAAAAAAAAAAATAAAACAAATTTACGAGCATTTATTTCTGTCTTTGTAGAACGATCGCAGACGCGAGAATCTAATGGACGATAACCTGTTCGCATCGGGCCGGATGTTGTAATAGACTTTTTTAATTTTAGTAGTACTGCGAGATCGTCATCAATATTTCGCTGGAATTATGCACTAAAAAGTAAAACAATGCCAAGTAAAGTTCGAGCTAAATGAGTTTTACGTTTTTTGTTCTACTTTTTTTTCAATCAAATTCAAATTAAATATATTCATAATTCCAAGTGGAAGGCGCGAGAGAAATGAATACACAATTACGAGGCAGGAATCGATAAGGACAGCATAAAGTAAACATGAATCGTCTCGATTAACTTATATTACGTCGGATAAAAAACGTCTATAAAGTCATTACATAAGCTTCGATGTGTACGAGTTAAAGATTCATAATACAGCCGCAGTCAAAGCATTAGCGCGGGCTCAATGCATCTATCGCTAGTATCCATCAAGCGCATATGGGCCTCGTATGCACACTCGCACGCGTCTTTTCATTTATATTAACAATATGCGGATCCTCCGCACTCCCTCTTTCTCTCACTCTCTTCGTGGTTATCTAGCAGTGCAGCGCATAACGTCACGCAGTTTGAATCCATTCTGCCGCATTCATTTTCTCGCTCGTGTGCTGTATGTGTGTGTGTGTGTGTGAGTGCAGCGTGTAACGCATTATTTTACACTGCAGCTCGTTTCGTTATATTCAAGTTTTTCATCCTTCTCCAACTGACACACGCGTGTGCCCGTGTGCACGCGCGCGTTCATTTGACCGGAAAAATTATTTCAATTTTCCTGCCAACCGTGTCAAGGCTCTCGGCGTAAATTCCTAAATAAATTATCATATGCAAACAAGCGACTGTGAGAATCGCTAACTTGCGCCATTTTTCTTGAGCTCGGGGTTCGCACAGACGATGTCGTGAAAACGAGACATTCCGCGCTGCTGCTGTTGCTCGCCTCTATTTCATTCGATTTAAATGAGAAAAGAAATCCATTCGGCTATTGCGGTACGAACGACGATTTTGCGCTGCAGATTCGAGCCGAATGGGCGCGTTTTTATTATTATTCTTCAACCCGGTGTGTTTATATGAGAAAACATCTGCGTTGAAAATGTAAGTGTTTCAACGCAAGAAAGCAGCAGCAACAGTGGCAGCAGTGGCAGCAGCAACATTAGCAGCAGAAATTCTCTCTCTCTCGAGTACTTATACTTTCACCGCGTGTTTCGCTCTGCTTCTAGATTAATCGGCCCGAGAGTGAGCGAGCAAAAGCGAGAGGAGAGGAGGCGAGTCGAGCCGCCGAGTCGAAAGAGAGAGAGAGAGAGAGAGAGAGAGAGTTACGTGACGCTACATAACGCGTTTAATAAGTTCTTATTGCACAAGAGCGTCGGAAGAAAGTGAGGGCGTATGTAAGCCATACGCTCATTCGCTGATATTGGCCATTTTATGAAACGATGACGATATTATTCTACTGCAGCCTGGTCCTGCTTAGCGATAGTTGTGGGCACTTTTCATAGTTATCCGCGAGATATACCGAAGCAATTCGATGATATTCGCGCGCTCGCATAAGCAGGTCAAAAATGATTATCTACGTTGCTCAACTTTTAACGATGAGAAAGATAAAATATAATAAAGTTACGAAAAAGAAAGATTATTTTTTACTCGATTGCATCGGATAAAGTGACCGATTGTCGATCGCGATTCCGCTTGTCTCTCACTTTTTATACGGAAGCTGCATCGACTGAAAATAGTAGCTCGGTACCGTTGCAAATGTGATAAAAAATACTTACGATGTAAGAGCGACTAATGATCATATGGATAATGCAACGCGCTTAGTGCGTTCGTGTTTCTTTTTCACTAGTTAATATTACTTAATAACGATCATACGATGTGCATACTTTTATACGCTACTTGCACTCGCGCGCGCGCGCACACACACACATGCACACGCATGCAACAAGCACAATTATAATGTCATTGCTCCTGCAGCAGTGTGAAAAAGTTATGATGACTAAGACGTGGAGAAAAAGGAGAGAAAAGCAACTCGTTGATATTTTTACTCGTCCGAGTATCTACGATTGTTTTTATTCCACTTATAGCGATTGCGCTCGAGTCTTGATATACATATGCAACTAGAATTTGCGCTCGTATTCTTTAATTTTTTCCACATACGCATACAATGGAAGTGTAGTTGCAGTCGCTGCCGCCGTGGGCAAGGAGTATAATACAACTGTAGAGCTCTATAAAACGAAAACGTAATTTGTTCGAAATTCGTGCTCACTCGAGCTTTGTTCCTATACATATGTGAAAGTGAATTTTATGAAAATATTGTACAATATGTGTCCGTGCGCTATGAGTGTGAAAAAATATTTTAAATTATCAATGTAATTATGCTGACTTGTGTTATAATTGAGCTTATTCAAACGGCGCGACTAAGCTATATCTTTTTATAAACACTTTTAGTAATCAACTATACGGCTGCGCACAATTGTCAGGTGATAGTTTTTCATTACCTACTAAAGGAAGACAATTCTTGATAATCTTATAATGCTTACTCAAATCATTGAAAACGTTTTTTTTACACTCCCTTCGCGTTACATGATGTAACGGCTACGCACATATTTCCTGAACCATATGAAGAGTTGAGCCTTATTTGGCATTTAGCTTTAATTGCAATTAACTCCGCTAGAAAAGTATATTCAGTACAACTTTCATAATGCCTATGACATGCAACTTTATACGATGTGGCTTCTAACGCAAGAGCCGGAAATTATAATAGAGTGTAAAACAAAATATTATTAACACTTTTTCAACGAGAATATGTGACGAATCATTTTTCTAACACTTTTGAGTTCATTTTTGAAATTTTTGTTATGACTTCTCTTCCATGTAGATAGATTAAACGTTAAAAACGAAAGTATACAATTCAAGTGTAATGGGACTGCCTTACTGCTAGGTCACTTCATCGAATGGTTCAATTTTAATATTTATGTCAGCATCGATAATGGGCTCTACTTTAATTGTGATATTGACAGGTTCGTAGCTATTGACTATCGACGATTTACAGCTTTTAGATGCTTTAATTTTTCTAGAAATTATCAATTTTGCTAAATTAGGATTCGCTTGGAACTTGACGCAATTTCTAGTGTGAACTTTCATATTGTCTTGGCGATTGAATCCTTTTTGGCAACCAGGACATTTATGCCTATGAAAATATATGAAAAATTAAATATCTTGATTTGAGAGTTATAATTAGCTCAATTGATTTGAAAAGCCGAACCTTTTCGCATCGTGAACAGCCATGTGAGTAGTTAGATGCGTTCTCTGAGCAAAATCTTTGCTGCAAATTTTACATTTGTATTGCCTTATTCCCTGATGTTTCAAAATATGATCCTGCAGCATCGATCCATTTTTATAAACTTTCGGACACATCGGACAATGGTGCCTGCCATCTGCATGCACTTGCTGCGAGATTTATTTTGTGTTAAAAAAAAAACAAATGTATTCAGTATAAGTTTCTGAACTCATAATAGACGTGGATGGCAATATTCATGGATTTAAACTCACATAAACATGATTATGGAGAGCTTTTCTAGTGATGCATTTTTTTCTACAAATTTTACAAACGTAATCCCTGGTGTGGACATTAATGTGATGACGTCTCAAAGCTTCTTCGGAAGATACGTATGATAAACAAATGTGACACTTGATAGCATTCGATTCCTCGTGGGTATTTCTATGAACTCGCATCTTTTTTGTTGAATGAAATCCCTTTCCGCATAAGTCGCAAAGTATGTCCTGATGCAATATATCGATAAATAAAACTTGAACTAACTTTTTTAAAAAATGTAATGCTACTAGATCGAAATGGTTACTTGGGATACTTAATTTAGCCAAGCGTACCTTTTCCGTTTTGTGCTTCGACATATGTGAAACAAGCGCTCGTTTGTTCAGACAAGCAAAATCGCAGTGGTCGCAGTGATAAGGTTGCGAGTTTGTATGGCTTATCATGTGTTCTTTCAATAACACCGCTACAGAATATCTTTTATCACACTGGCTGCACTTAAAAGGCTTCAATTTCAAATGAAATTTTCTTACATGGCCACGAATGCTGGTGACGGTGAGCGTCTTGAAATCGCAGGCCCGACAAATGTATGGCAACATATTCAAGTGCCTCCAAACATGAACCTTAAAGTAGACGATAGTTACTTGTAATATGGATCTTCACGCGATCGTTCAAAAATGAATAAATAAAATCAAATTACTTGACACTTGTCAAGCCTAGGATAGGTCGTTTTGCAGAGCTTACAACGAAATGACTTTTGATTGACTGTTATATTTTTCAAAACTTTTTTTTCGTCGACATATTTTGGATCTAAATAATAGTAAGATTCAATTTTTTTCTTTTCTTCGTCGCTAATTAATTCATTGATTTTTCTCGTTGGTTCATGAAGTTCGCTTTTATCATTTTTTAGATGAACTTTTGCTTTTTTGTTGTTTTTAACAATAAGTGTGCTTTTCTCTTCTTTCTTTTGATGTGTGCGTACATTATTTTTCAGTTTGCCTTTGAATTTTTCGCTTTGACTTTTTACTTTCCTTGGTAATTTTTTTCGTTCCGTTAATTGTGATGTTCTCAAAGTAACTAATTGTCTGTTAGCATCCATCATTCATCAGGAATCTTTGTACTGTTTCTCGTTCACTGCAACCTATATTTATTTGATAAATTATTTCGCTCAAAGTAGTGTTTTAAAAAATTATCTAATCAACGTATTTAACAAAATAGAGAAAATTATAGAAGTAAGGTACTGCAATAATTTTATAGTTAAGGATGACCAGGTTTTATGTCATTTGATTAAAAAATTATCAAATAATTTAAGGTAGTTTAATAATAAGATTTACTATAGATTACAGTAATTTTGTAAAAGCTTACACTATAATGTATTTCAAAATAAAGCAAAATTCTTCTCCTACCAGAATGTAACTGACAAAATATAAGCTAACGTAGCTTCATGCTTAGCTAAAGCTAAAATTAATGAAAGGTCAATATTTTGATAATAAATAGGTGAAGATGAATGCAATATAGTACTGGTAAGCAATAAAAACATATCATCATTTGAAAAAGCTTGCTAATTTTATCTAAAAAAGGTTTACCATTATAACGAAAAATAAGATTCATTTGTGAAATAAAGATTTTTACAATAGAGTTTATATGGTATCTTCTGCAATGATCTTAAATTTTTGACTCATCAATGAAACCTCCATAGTAATCCACTAGTTAATCTTACAACAGAGGCCATCACCATATTGCCAAACTGTGTTTCTTTATATACAGTACTAACATTAACAAATGCAACGCCTGAAATATTTCTCTTTCCCTTTCACTCCTATCTCTACTCTTAAATTCAAAACTTTTCTAGCGGAGCATCTTACTTAATACTGCAAATAATTGCGGCGAATTCAAGAAAACAAGCAATCGCACGGCCATATGATGAAACAAAATTGAAATCCGAAAATTCGGGTCAAGGTCTTGTCATTGGAGAAAACTGATTTCCGGCTAAGTGTAAATAAGCAACAAAATCCATTTACAATCTACTTCGTGAAATTGAATTTTCTCCCATTTACTACCGAGTATCATTATTTGTCGACTAAAAAATTAAAGCTTACTTTTTTGTGAGTCTAATTCTATTATTATTTTACGAACAAATTTAAATTAATATACACGTACAAGTTTTCAAAAAATGAAGTTATGAAAAAAGTGAAGAGTGAAAGTAATGTATTATATGTCGTGTTCGTATAAACTTATGCGCGTTCACTTACCAGGTATATGCACACACAAACAAGTAAACTTTTTAATCGAAAATTGGAAAAGACGCTACGAAGTATTTACCTTAAACTTTTCTTTTTTGCAACTAAAAAGTAAGGTTTGCTCCAGTTGAATATAAACAAGTTTGAAAGAAACATAATTTTCATAGCAATTTGAATAATAAAATAAGATAATTACTGAGAAAAAAAGATAAGAAGAAATCCCCCCTGCGGCAAAGGAAGTCATGATCTTGCTCATCTATTTCCGTCAAGTTCTTTATGTTGGTTCAAGAAGTTATATAGTAAGCAAAACGAATGCGAAAAGTATAAGGTCGAGCCATTTGAATTATTTTATCAATTTCAGCACAAGATTTACTTTAATAACTCTATGAAAAATTAGCATTTTGAATATTTATACACTTCATTAAAACATTGAACATACAAATTTTTATTTGGATTCCAAGAAAATCTCGTGCTTAGACTTACACCATTATTTTGATTTTGTCATGTGCAGATTTACAAATATGTATGTACTCGCCATTTAGTTGTAAGACTTCAAGTAGCATTATCGTATTTGTAAACTGGTCTCAATTTTTTGAAACAATTGAATTTTCATTTTCAAGTCATTTAAAATGTACTTAATATTTGTAAAATATTTTGAATATAAAAATCCGCAAAAACAAGCTAATTAATTATAATGCGTTTTAAAACATTTTCAATTGTCATTTTTTAGTGATCAGTCGGTTATTAATATTGAGAATTTCTACTAAGGTTACACTGATCTACATATAAAAAAAGAATTTATGTGAAAAAAAATTAATAAGGCTTATAAATTGAAGCTTTTTTGCGAGGCCAGGGTAAAAATATAAATCATAATTTTTACTTAGATTCGGGTATTTCCTTAATGCCACTTACCGATTAAGGTTACAATATTAATTTGTTTTGCATGTGAAACTTCATAATTATGCCTATGAGCGCCAAATAAAAACGCTCTACCAACACATGCAAATACTTTCTCATCGTATCAAATACTTTTTCTTTCTTTCCAATTTTCGCTTGCGTCATTTAAAACTGAGATGGCAACAACAGGTTTTGTGCACTTCTTTACGTCATGAATGCTAACATTATGTATTCGTCAAGATCGCTTTTCGCCTTTATTGCGTTTTAATACGAACGATTTCTTATAAATAATTTTTCTTCAATGATTTCGGTACTAGCTCCCGTTTCTATTCTCGTGATTACAAATGAATTATTAATTTCCATTTGTTACAGAATTGCAAAAAAGTGAATGAGTTTCTATGAGCGATAGTTGGCAACTATAAAATTTTCGCACGCATCGTCATCGCACTTACTTTGTTTTCAAGCACGTTGCTGAACGTTTTAAAACCTAATGTTTGTAGGTTGGCGAGTACGAGGCGGGCACGAGGAGATAGGCGCGCCGACGGCTAGTATAATAATACGCCGCGGCCGAACGCGTGACTCGAGGGCTCAACCGTAAACAACTTGAGCCGCGGTTTACGCTCGTGACTCACGACCGGTCTCGCGGTGTCGTGAAAATTCGGTACTTCTACGAATGCTTATGTATATGATAGTTGTGTTCGTGTGTGCGCTGCGAGATACGAGCATGAGTAGCTTTTAGTCCACTAGCCACACTTTTTTCAGCTTTGTTGCGACAGGACCAAGATACTCGAGTTGGAGGGCTGTTTCGGAGCTTTGGTGACTTTTGGTGATATCAAGAGCGGTGAAAACGAGCGAGTTTCAAGAAATGCGAAGGTGCAACGGTACATCAAGACATTTCAAGAAGTATTACTGCGGATGCACCCTCTGAAACGTGTCTGGCAGCTTCGATTGGAGTTGCAGCCGAACCATGGTTATTTTATTGTCATTATATGTAAAAGTAGATGATTTTACAGATAATAAATCTGAGTAGATGTGCTAACTTGAGAGCAATGTCACAATTTTTTTATCTAAAAAATTGTTTAATTTGATGAAGTTGTTTAGAAACCGTAAAGCGTTTACATAAGTTTTCGTAGCATGTTTACCATTACCAAACATCGAAAATATAGATAATGAGTTTAAATAGAATTAAGGCACTAATGCATATCGTAAGAAACAACTGAAAATTTAAAAGCTGCAATAATAGACGCAGTAAGTAATTCGCTGGTGCGATTAATAAATTGAAAGCTACTGCTGCTCATTTCGAAACGATAAAAATATTAAATAATTCAAACGTGAATCCCCGCGCGCTGGAAAAGTACATTCGTAAAAGAAACTAAGCGGGATTGTAACCCAAGACTCATGAGGTAATACTCGATCGCACACTCGAATACGTGCAGTCGCGCGTATTATACTGCACACATATATATACCGACAACGTATTAGTAGTAGTAGTCTCCTTTCACTCGGCGCTTTATACTTGTATAGCAGCAAGAAAATAATAATTGCTGCATTTATGTGTCTAGCAGCGATCAGGGTCACTGCGAAAAGTCTAACTGCATTCATACACCCACTCAAGCACAATTCGTAAGTTCAGTTATGAAGTCCGTAGCGAGATTCAAGCATTGAAGGAAATGATTTAGATTTGGAGCCTCAAATTCAAGCTTTACTTTTTTTGCAGTTTTAAATTGTCAATCTCTCGTCTGAATTTGATCAAAAGTCCATGAGAATAATCATTTTTTCGATTGAATTAAATCAAAAAGATTTTAATTGAAATTATTAATGGAAAAATTGAATTGAATTTTAATTCAAAGTTCAAAATGAATAGTTGTTTTTTCACGAATTTTGGTCTAACTGAGAAAGTGCTGAATTAAAATTTTTTTTTTAACAATAATATGGCGAGTGACGAGTTTGAGTAAAACATAATATTCGTGAGTATAGTATTCGTGACTCTTGAAAAATATTTAGAAGCGAGAGCCGAGGTAGTCGATGAGTAAGCTTTAGTTTCCTTTTACTTCAATTCATGATATATTGCATCATAATTAATAATATTTACAATAGCGAAAATTTTTTTATATCAAATTTCTTAACTTGAACGGAAACAGTGAAAAATTTCATGAAGGTTATTATTCGTATCTTAATTTTTTCCAAACCGTAACTTTTGAGTACATACAATGCAATGCTGGAATGTTTTTCTATTATCCTTAAAAAAGGTATCATCGTTTTACCGACTACTTTATAAATTCTGAAACGATCTTACAATGTGCATAAATATTCCTATTTATTTGCAGTATTACTTAATACATCATTCATCGATAAAAAGGTAACATTTTACAAGAACTGGAGCGGAAAAACGTTTTCTTTTTTTACCAACAAAGCTAAATTTTCTCGCTCGTTGCTTTTATTCGATCAACAATAAAATTCACTATGTGCATATAAATTCTCGACTCCGCTTTCGATGTCACATCGATATAACAGCAGATTTTGCTTCGACTGTAAAAGAAAAATGATTAAAAGAACATTTTCACAGCCTCTAGGGAAACGCTTGAGTTTTCAAGTGTTGGAAATGACGTTTAGCAGTAACATAAGCATCGTTATTTCACGCGCCTTTCAACGAGCATCAGAGAAAAAAAAATAATGGCTCTTGGAGAAAAAACTGTTTAGATTAGTCATGAATTGAATTCATTTTCAATTTTTTAATTATGATTTACTGAAGCAATGACGATTTGCAACTTAACATTTTGCTGTATTCAAACTCTTCGGCGTATTACTAATGTATACATTTTTTTGTGCCTAAAAATATCTTATTAGACTTTTACGATTTAAATTTTATTGTTTCAAGCATCACCAGTAACAAAATTATCAACTAAAATCATTTTTGTTTTAAAATTAAATTTAGTAAGTGATGTGAAAGAATCCTGGTCTC